CGATGACGTCATGAATATGCTAATTAGCGTATGACGTCATCTGGCGACATTTAGCGACTTTTCAAACTGGTTTTAACTACTTTCTATTGAACGAAGTTGGCAACACTGCTCACAGTGCGTACAGCCGTACACCTGCAGGCGACACTGACTCGGACGGTTGTCGTGGTAATAAACACCGTAAACAGCAAACGTTCGCGTGTCCGCGCTTAATGCAACAATACTGTTTGCTTTCCAGCAGTAACTGTGTTACACATCACGCTAGTTGGTAACGTAAGAGTGAGCAGAGAGGACACGCAGCTTCTGCCCAGGCGGATGTAGTTCAGTGATGCTGTGCCTGAGCCGCTTTTCTCAAATCTCACTTATAAGAAAGATAAAATAAGATAAAGGAAAGAAAACTCAAATTCCTCCGCCGACGTCTTCACTTTTATTCTTCTGTATCATTCCCAGCTTCCTCATTACAGGTTTGGGCAAGAAAAGCTTTTCCCTTTAAACTTTTAGAGGCTGGGACCGCAGGAGGGGTTCTGAATGGGAGAGACCTCACAGTGTGTATCAATTAACCTTTCACTTTAGTTTTCAATGTCTTATTTCAACTTGGTCAACTGTGGTTTAATATGCACATTAGATTATGCAGCATTTCTGTATGTACTCATGAGGGATAGTGCTATTACTGAGTACAAGATGGCTCTCTGAAACATGACATCCCTCTCTGATCTGCTATAATCCCATACACCTTTGCACTCAATTGGCAGTTATAAAAGTGTAGATGCATCATGCAAACTAGGGCTGGGTGATATTAAACCTATGTGTTTTTTCTGGCTTTATAATGTTTAGAAACATCTTGAATAATAATGCAATGATTTTAATGCTTTTATTAAACTTCCCAAACGTAAAGTTTCTGATTTGAACTTTATTTTGCAGAAATGGCATTGAATTAAGCAGGTTTGATTCCTTTCCAAATTATTAATCTTTCTGTTGCATTTTTCATGTTAATTGATTTTATAATAAAATGCAGTGCATTTTGTTTTACTATGCGTGTTATATTGGTGCATATAAATTAGATGTCATTTCTAAACTTTTTAGGCATCAAGATATAATTTTTTAGCTCTATTACCCAGTCCTAATGCTCACTGTAGAAAACATCAGTCCATTTATATGGTGGCTGTACAGAATAAATAACTAATAATAACAGGGACTGCTAGCCTCTTGGTTTGGTCCATGATCAGACGCTACTGCTTTATTTTCAGACATTCACATTAAGGAGCCAGTTAAAGAAACCGGCCTTGGGTCAGTGGAGGTTAAATGTCTCCAATCTACATGAAAGTAAAGCCTTTAGTTTCTTGTCTAGCACAGATTATATTTGACAGTGTCAAACACAAAATATGTCAGATCTCATGATTTCACCGCAGTGACAGGCAGGTCTGTGACCCTTGGCCGCAAAGTTAGCAGTGTGTAGCGGACGCAGTGTGTGTGTGTGAGACGTGTGCGAGTGTGTGTGTGTGGTCTCATTCAATGTATATTATGTGCTGTGTCCTTACAGGAGATGAGTCGAGACAGCGGGTTAAATTCACAGACGAGCGCGTCTGCAAATCGCACCTGCTCAACTGCTGCCCGCATGACATCCTCTCTGGAACGGTGAGGGAAAACATATTACAACAGTCAACGCTGATTATTTGTGCAGCATATTGATGAAGTCTTCGTCTCTTCCCTTTGTTTGTAGCGCATGGACCTTGGCGAATGCTCTAAGATCCATGACCTGGCGCTGAGAGCAGACTATGAGATCTCGTCTAAGGAGAGAGACCTGTTCTTCGAACTGGATGTAAGTGACTCTGTATTGAGTCGAGCTCATCTGCTGGTGTTTTCAATGAATTTGCAGCGAAGGCTTTTTTAATTCTGATGCTGACTCTGTGCTGTGCAGGCGGTGGATCACCTGGAGTCGTTTATTGCCGACTGTGACCGCAGGACTGAGTTGGCCAAGAAGCGTCTCGTTGAGACACAGGAAGAGATCAGCGCTGAGGTGGCCGCAAAGGTATGACGTGTTTATATAGCGCTGGGTGCAATAATGTGTGCAGTGTGAAAATGTCAACCAGAAATCCACTAATATCTGTGGACGGGACTTGCGTTATTTACACATCAGTGCAACGAGTAATTAAATAAAATAATGTGGAGTCAGATGAGTCTCAAACTAGTCAATGTTTTTAGTGGCCTAGAAACATTGGAACTTACCCATTTTAATATTGATTTAAAGGGATAGTTCATCCAAAAATGAAAATGTGATGTTTATCTGCTTACCCCCAGGGCATCCAAGATGTAGGTGACTTTGTTTCTTCAGTAGAACACATATGATGATTTTTAAGTCCAACCGTTGGAGCGCGTACACACCTCGCGCATTGGATGCTGTGCGCGCGCTCAAGGAAGTTGGACATTGCGATGAATCAGAGGTAAAAAATTTTATAAATACTGTTTGGTTTCTGGCACAAACCGATCGTTTCGTGTCTTAGGACATCAATGTGTCTTCACGAGCCGCAGGGTTTAATTTGGATTTGTCTGTGCATGTTTTTTTTACTCTCATAGATTTTGTTACCATTGCCATGCATTATACAACTGATAGACTGCAACGGCTGGACATAAAAATCATAATTTGTGTTCTACTGAAGAAACAAAGCCACCTACATCT